CTGTTTGTTTGCTTTGTTCTGTTAGAAAAGTAATATAATGGACTGGTTGCCCTGACACGACAAATAAATAAATAAATAAATGACTAAAATAAGCAATAATCAGAAGGATTATTATTGTTTTGCAAGGCTAGCTTTCTCTGCCCAAGGTTACACCTAGAGTTAATGTTATTTTGACATCCTGGGGACGTCTTTAGTTTTGCAAAGGCTTTCACCTATTTTCTGGCTGCATCTGCACTGCAGAGTTAATGCAGTTTAATACCACTCCCACTGAAAATCCTGAAATTTGGAAGCAAAGCAGCAAAGAAAATCAGGACAAAAAGAAAAGAATGCAAAATTTCATTTATTTTTTTCATCTGTTTGTGCAACACAGCAGTGGAGGTCTAAAAGCAACTATTATCTGTGAACTCCTCAGTGTTCCTGGACTACAACTCCCATCACTTTCAACATATGGGAGTTGTAGTATGACATCATTTGGACAGAAACGTGCAACACAGAAGCCCAAAAGCAACAGGTAAAATGGGAACTGTGATTCCCATCATACTCAGCATAGCCAGGGCTGATGGGAGTTGTAGTCCAGCATCATTTGGATAGAAATGCACACAATGAAGAGGCCCAAAAGCATATTTTCCTCTGCAAATGTCTCTGTTTCTGGACTACAACTCCTATCACTCTCAGGATAGCCAGGGCTGATGGGAGTTGTAGTCCAACATCATTTGGGTAGAAATACATAGTGAAGAGGTACAAAAGCATATTTTCCTCTGCGAAGGTTTTTATGTTTTTGGACTACAATTCCCATCACTCTCAGCATAGCCAGGGCTGAGGGGGGTGTTGTACTCCAGCATCATTTGGGTAGAAATGCACACCATGAAGAGGTACAAAAGCAATTTTTCATTGGGAACTCTTCAGTGTTTCTGGACTACAACTCCCATCACTCTCAGGAAAGCCCAGGTCTGATGGAAGTTGTAGTCTAGCATCATTTGGATAGAAATACGCACAGTGATTTGGTCCAAAAACATCTTTTCTTTGTGAACGCCTCAATGTTTCTGGACGACAACTCCCATCACTCTCAGCATAGCCATGACCGATGGGAGTTGTAGTCTAACATCATTTGGATAGAAATACGCACAGTGATTTGGTCCAAAAACATCTTTTCTTTGTGAACGCCTCAATGTTTCTGGACTACAACTCCCATCACTCTCAGCATAGCCAGGAGTGATGGGTGTTGCAGTCCAGATTCATTTGGAAAGCAGTCCAGAAACAATTTTCTCTGTAAACTCCTCAATGTTCCAGAAGTGCAGTTGTGAATTCTTAAATGTTCATGGACTGCAACTCACATCATTCCCCCCCCCCCCCGAGCACAGTCAGGGCTGATAGGAGTTGTAATCCGGCATATTGGGAGGAAGAGGAGGCCAATGAAAAGAGTGTTTGGCTTGCAAAACATGCATCCAGAGCACTGCATCGTCTTTTCCTTTGTTTGCTTCATAAGAGGGTTAGGGAAGGTCCTCCTGGGGTCACTGGAGGGCAAAGAGGAGGGCAGCAAAGGTCACGGACAAAGACCTCCAGGTTGGAGGGACGCCCCAGGCTTGCCCTGCATTGGCGTAATACTCGGCCACGGCCACGTTGGGGTTGCCCTCGGAGGCATCGAACCACATCTGGATGCAGCGCCCGCTGCCCCGGGCCCAGGTGGTGTACTTGTAGGAGTTTGTCCAGATCTTCTCACACATGTCCTTCGCCTGCGGAAAGACCGCACTCCAGGCCTGGCACTTGGTGCCCACCGGACACTGGTTGACCTCTGGAAGAGAAGGAAGGATGGAAGGAAATGGGAGAACAAAGGGAAGAGAAGGGGAAGGGAAGGGAGGAAGGAAAGGAAGGAAGGAAGGAAGGAAGGAAGGAAGGAAGAAGGGAGGAAGGAAGGACAGATGAAGGAAGGACAGATGGATGAGGAAGGAAGGAAATGGAGAACAAAGGGAAGGAGGAGGGAGGAAGGAAGAAGAGAGGAAGGAAGGAAGGAAGGAAGGAAGGAAGGAAAAAGGGGGGGAGGAGGAAAGGAAGGGGGGGAGGAAGAAGAAGAAGGAATGAAGATGGATGAAGGAAGAAAGGAAAGGAAGGAGGAAGGAAG